TATCTGTGAACAGGATATAGCTTTTAAGTGTTTAATTGATGTTTCATCACATATTCTTTTAAAAGAGTTGCGTTTTGCTTATATTTCCGGGGCAGGGTAGTTAGTTGGATTTTTTGCATGCTGTTTAAGTGGATTTGATATGTCATGACAGATTCTGGTGCCGATAAGCTCAGCAGAAGACGAAAATCCTGTGTTCTCTAAAAGCACAACTCATTCTAGAAAACTCAAAAATGATTCCATAAACTCAATAAAATAAAAACATGGTTTAAAAACTAAAAAAATAAAATATTTACCAGGAGATCAAGAGAAGTGATAGACTTCCTTTAAACTAACAATAAGATATGGCACTCGAGAATCACTTAAGAGTAGCACTGCACTGTACTGTACACAAACTGTAAGAGCAGATCATGGTTTTCCTGTATGAAATGCAAGAAGAGGATTCAATTCTTTTTACAAAGTATGATGCCTAATGAAAATATCAAAATATTAATCATTCATAATTATATGGCAGTACTGTCTCAACCTTATGTACTGTAGTGTGAGGACATCCTACAGAAAGCTCATAATACTATAAAATTATGGTTAGAAAGGACACTAATGAAGAAAGTGTTCAGTGACTGAATCACCATACATATGAACTAAAGATAATTCTGTAGAAAAAAGCGAATACATTTCTATTACATAAAACATTGAATTACCAGTCTGAGCAATCTCTGTATCTTTCACGTTAGAAGGCACATGATGTAAACTAATTTAATTCGGTTTAGAACAGTTCATTTAGTTTTTGACACAGAGGTTGGGTATCTCGTTGTTATTTTTGTGCTCAGTTTCAAAAGTCACAGTTACTTCCTTCTTGGCGCCTAATTTAACATGTTTAGAAAACAAGTAACGACATATTGACCCCCTGTTTGAGAAACACAATGGAAACACTCAAGTGATTTAGCACTTACACTCTCAGATAAGAGACATTTTCATCATTAATCTTGACGACTTTGTTAGTGCTCTTAGAATAAAGAATAGTCTGGTTTCCAAGAAACGCTGAAGCAAACAGTGTTTAGCATGCATACAAATTACTGCAAAATAATATTAATGTTATACAGTCTAGTTAGTTCATGACAAATGTCATTTTTAACATTGCTGGTGTCTTAACACTATTTAAAAAATGAGTATTTCAATCGAAAATAGGAAATACCATTGAATATCAAGATTAGCTGTGGCAGTAAGTCAGTTCTTGCAAGGGTGTGTCGTCTTTGTAAAACAATATATCTCAAGTAATGTAATCTTTGGTTCTTGCTGTGCAATAGCACTGAAATATACCACCTGTTTTAGTTTAAAATAAAAGGAAAATTTGCCAAAAATTGTGATTAATTAAGATTTGTATTAAATCTTTAAATAATGTGATACACGAAAAAAATATTATTAATTTTAAAGTCAAAGACCCATTCCATGGTTCAGATATCTGCCAAAATCTCTAGGTTTTTTCTTGGACTGTAGCCAGCATTGGGAGTAACTACAGTAGTTACATGGACATGTAAAACAAGCTTGGATTTTTCAGTAACGTTATTAACGCAATCATTCTCAAATTGTGGCATTTCCATTACTTTTATTTGAAATTGCAGCAATAAAGTACGAAACACCTATTCAAGTAAAATCATATCAGATGTTAACATTTTGGCATATATTAATATGCTTGATATATACCACGACACACGGACAATACTATAGATCTATTAATAAATTATCTAAATAAGGATGTGTAAAGAAATGTGTAATAGTTTTTAATTGTATTTGACATATTTTATTTTTTATGCCTCCACTTTATTTCTAACATACTGCTAATACTGCTACCAACAACAACAACAACAACAACAACAACAACAACAACAACAATAATAATAATAATAATAATAATAATAATAATAATAATTTGATGCAATCAATATTTGTTTTATACACAGCCACACATTTAATGCAAAACAAAAATAAGAATGTTCATAAAGTTAATATGCCATGAGGCAAACAGCGATATTGAAAGGGTTACAGAGTTCAGTGAATGAGATGGGCCAAAACGACCATTGATTAAAATTCTGGTCACTCAACCAAAGGGGTTTGTGTGGAACTAAAAAAAAAAACATTTTAGATCCAGCTTGGGGTTTGCAATAAACCACCTAAGAAACATGTGGCGAAAGGTTTGTTAGTCAAACAAGACAAAACTGAATCTTTTCGTCTACATGCAAAGTGTTACATCACACATAGTGCATGACTCTTTCAACAGCAACCCTAGAGTCATGCATGGCGATGACATGCTGTAAGTTCTGGTCTCATCAGCAGGGATTGGAAAGCTTGTCGAGACTGTTAGGAACATAGATGGTTCAAAATACTGGCAAATTGTAGGGCTTCACACCTAAAACTCTTGTCTTTCAGAAAGTCTTTGTATTTTACTGAGAATCTGTGGAAATACTTAAAAACTGCAGTCAATAAGCAATTCTCAAGCAATGTCTCACGCAAACAGGCCAAAAAGAATGGTCTGAATACTCATGCATTAAACATATTTCATTTTTTTCTGTTAGATTTAACTGACATTGACCATAACCATGATCTTACCCTTCCATTTGAGCATTCAGGTTTGGAAGAAAATTCTGTAACATATTACAGTTCTGTTCTAAACTAGTAATAGTAGTTGATTACTTATTGAAATAATTTCTCAAAAATGTCCATAGCGCACCACTGTGCATAAACACTTCAGAGTATTTGTAATGTACTAATGAACCTTAATCTAAAATATTTTGTTTCATATTTAAAACAGTGTTTACCTATTATTGACTGGAATCAATGGTGTATTTGTAGTTGCCTTGCTTCAGAAATGGAGTTTAACATTTGCAACCTAAGATTTTTAAGCAGAGAAAGGGAAAAAAATAGGAATCATGTTGTGAATATGTTCAGAATTTCAACAGTAATGTATTTCAGTGGCTGATCTTTCAGTATGTTACCAACGATGTGTCTTAACCCCACCAGAAGAGTCCTAAACTATAATGGACTTGGTATTACATTCCTAAGTAATACATTTAAAGTCATGCTTAATGTCTCCCTTAATACCAATGCTTGCATGCAAGTGTGTTTTACAAGTGGGAAACATATGGAAACGATCAATAACGAACTCAGATGAGGTCACTGTTTTGCAATGGGGAGCGCTGACCTGCATGGTTAAACCTTCAGAGACTAACGTGCCATACATCATCATGATCAGTCTGACAAGTGCACACATCTAAAAACCCACACTGGAAAAGCAAAAAGGCACGTATGGATTGTGTTTTACTTAGCATCTCAGATTATCGACTCTGTGCATAAAACATTTCAGACTCTCGTCTCTCTTCACTTTTCTTCTCCAGTTTGTGAGTGGAGTGACTGGAACTCCACCACCCCAGTAAGTCCAGAAAGAGAAGAATTAATTGAAATGAAATCTAATAAGATTTAATAGATGAAGATTTGTGAATTTATTATTTTTATTTTTTCGGTGAATTTATTCTTTTGAACAGACACTTTATCTTTGATATAAAGAGGTAGTGCCTATGATCTACATTAGCTGTTTTTATGCATTGCTTTTTGTATACTTCAATTTTCTTTGTGTGCGTCAATAGGTAGTAGACACAAAATGGAAAACACTGATCTAAAGTTACCTAATAAGGTGTTGTGCCACCAGGTGTAACCAATATGGCCCGTATGTCCTCAGCAACTCAGCAGGGTGGATGGAGGTGGAGAAATCTGTCTCAGTCAATGCAGGATATCCCATAAATGCTCAGTTCTTCAATCATATCTGGTGACCAAACATCAGTGTTATGCTTGTGAAACCATTGGTGACCAGGCAGTGCTCTGTGGATGGGAGTATTTTCATTCTAGAAGACAACGCCCCAGGACAAAGAGAAGCACTGCAACATGGGGTGAAGGTGATCACTCAGTACCGTTAAGTAGCGATTAGCACTGACCTTTCCTTCTAAGGGAATCAGTTAACTCAAACCACGCCAGAAAAATGAGGACGACAACATCATGGAACATGTTGGAACCAAGCGTTCATCGTGATTCTATTTGTCAAGAACATGGTGAAGGATGATTCATCTGATGACTTTAGGTTCTGTGCTTCTTGCACTACTGAACTTGCAAACATGTAATGATACAACTCAAATATAATAATCAAATATAACTTAGTTTTTTCCAGGTTAAAATTTGCAGTCAGTTGTTTCGCAGTCTTTTGCCGTTTTTTTCTCGCTGTTTGATTTAATGCACAAACATCACAATTTGCACTATGAGCTTCTGCCACGGTTGCCCTTTGTAGATGACGTCTTTCCATGCTGACATCAACATAGGCTAAGTTGCTCATGAAACGTTTACCAGTTGAATATCTTGGTTACTGATTTTCTTTCCAAACATACCCAAGAAATCATCCTTCCTGTGTTTTTCAGAAATTAAAGTTAATTTTTAGACACATTTAGATTTTGGTGAAATCAAAATGAATTAAAGATTCCAAATATTTCTGGGGAAGAGAGGAGGTTCACCTGTGGCTCATGACGTAGAATAAAAGAAATGTACGCATTGCAGACTTCTAGGCCCCAGTTGCCATCAGTCAAGTAGGGTCAAGCTCAGAATCAAATAACACAGCTAATAATGCTAAAGCACTGGCTCATTTACCTGAACCTAGTGTTAATGTAATTGGAGAATTTTAACATTTGTGCTTTATTGTGAAGCTATAGGACCTGCTGAAGATGTTCAAGGTCAATTGAAGCCCAAAGCAAAATTATATGTAGAGACACTGGCTTTAAGGCTTTGTCATTCTCAATTGTGACCTAGAATTGTGAAATTATGACAGAAGAAATAATACAACAGACGGCTAGATTACCTTGCACGTGTTGAAATGTGACTCCATCTAGCACGGATGTCTTCAGAACCGACTCCTACCATCTAGATCCTCTCCTTCATAACCCAACCATGTTTTTTTACTATGGCAGGGACAGCAATGGCGGCCGTGGACTTCACGTTAATAAACCCGAACCCCCTTGGGACCAACTCGGATTCCTCTCTGGTCTGTGTCAACAGTGAGTGGAGCGACAGCCAGCTTCCCAGCTTCGGGAGAGACTTAACTTCACAAGACCAGCAGGGGGTCTTACAAGGCTCGCGAGACACCAGATATCAATTGGCCACAAAAATTACCTGGGAAACACAGACAAACAAGACTTTTGGGGCCTTTTACTGTGGGGAAAAAAACAAAGACTCTTTATATAATGCGCACACAATCAAGATGTTAAACGAAGGTAAATAGTTTTTATTTTTCTTATGATATGTTAATAATGTTATTGGCCCTTGTGGCTCAAGCAGTTCTTTCTTTGCATTTTGTAACAGTACCAGTATTTTGTTTAGTTATGTACATCACTATGTACAGAAGGAATCAATACTGACTTTTAAGTGTTATGTAGAACCTTAAGTAATTGGGAATGTTTCCTTAAACAGAAAAGAGGTGGGTGAACTCAGCAGGCTAGCTCTTAATGTTGTTCCTCAGGTGAGGCTGCGCAGAGACCTGTGAATTTTGATGAATGACAAATAATAGTGTTTCTGTAGCAGTAACAGCATACTGTCTTTACTCCACTCTGAAGTATCATAATACCCTACAGCTGGAAGTTCAATGTAGGTTCAGACATGAAGTCATTATTGGTTGTATTAGTTTATTTTAGACAGAAGTTTCCCCCTGTCAGAACACAATAACACAGAAGATGAATGGGAAATAGAACTTCAGTAAGATATGGTTTCCTGCAAGAAGTGTTTGTCTGCAAACTTCCTCTTGAGGTTTCACTTCAGGTTCTAGTGCCTTTACAAGCTCTCCTGCATGATGAAAATTACAGTGCTTTGTTAGTCACGCTAGAGTATATGACAATTTAATGAGGACCGCGTAGAATGATTTTAATACAAGATGGTTAGTAGAATTATTTTGTACTTTCTGTTACATATTCAAATTTTGTTTTCCAGCCCCCTTCTTTCCACGGTCTTTAAC